TCTAAATAACTGAGCCCGTTGATCATAAGAAGGGACTATTTAGAGACAGAAATTAAAGATGGAAAGATGAACTGTAATATCGCTTACCGCTGGCAAGCAAATTGGCGGTGATTCATCAACACGCATTTGAATTTAAAGAGGATACAAATTAGACTGTATTGGAAAATTGTAACGACTTCTACTTTAAATGCTTAATCAGAGTACGACTCTATGCTTTTTAGAAAATTGCCGCGTTTTGACATTTTGTTTCGATTCGTCGTTTCGTGCGTGTTTCTTCTTTGTTGGTTTATCGCATAAGCATCGCTGTTTTCATTTCATTTCCACCTGAATGTAAGGTTAATCTCTAAAACGAACAACATCGTTATTAAATTTCCGATAAAGCTGCCGTTTGCCAGTGAGCGGCTTGGAAAGAGCGCCTTGACTGTCAATCGTTCGAACGAGTCATTTCACGGAATCATTTCGGGAGCTTGTTACATATTGTTGTGCGTGCGCCAAGTTCAAGACGAAGAAAATAAATACAACACGAAAAAAATCAAACACGATATGACGCGACGAGCGTGACACTTTAAAAGTATATTTTAACGGATTCTGTTACGAAATATTCAGATAGACAAATATGAAGAAAAAATCTAACAAAAGATCATTCTTCGTATCCCTGTGAGCCATATGATGACGAATCACATTTGAGGTAATGATCGAGCCTTATACACGGAGAGGAATAGCATACAATCCAGCAAAATTAATACGACACTGGAAATCGGTTTGTGTGATAGAGGGCGCTATACAGCAAGTGAAGCCGTTTACATTAATTTCTCCGAGTAATGTCAGATGTTGTTTTTCTAATTCATGTAAAACAATTAAACTCTAATAGTTTGTTTGTTTCTACTTCTCTCCAATCTGCATGGATGAAGAATACACTCGGTAGGTTCGATGCTACGGTGAAATGCATCATCTTCAAAGCAAAATTCTCGGCCACATAAGTTCAAAATACTAGTATGCCAAAAATTCAGTGAAAGGTTGCTAACAATTAAAATTTCGCGCAGACAAAAAAAATAAGTCCCAGGATTTGGTATCGTCGTCGCCTGAAACTAATCACGACAACTAACGTAGCAATCAAAGTATATCGCTAATTTCATCAATAAAATAACCTAACTAATTTCTAAAAACGATTTCGTCAATAAAGCCCCGTAATCGCTCATGGGCAAAAAAAAAATCACACGAGAGAGAAAAAAGTGAACACGTTTCCCCCTTTTCATTCTGTTTCCCCGTGGGTTACGCTAATGGGCCAAGTGTTCATCCCGCCGAGACCTCGTGAAAGCAAGCCGCGCGTTAGAGAACCAGTCACCTGGCTATTTACCGATGCGTTTGGCCGAGGGCGGGGTTAATCAGGCCAACATTGTCAGAGGGCCAAACCTCCCCGCTAAATAGGGTTCGGCGCCATAGTCATTAAAAGACGCGAGCGAGCAGTAGTGCATTGCGCCTGATATTAATAATATGCATTACGCCACTGTGGGTAACGAACCATAGATAGATTGATTCCCGGTATTGCTTCTTCTCAATGGGTTTAATATATCCACGCTCTGTGGTTTGGGACCTCGTATAAGATTTCATTTCCGAACCATTCGCTTTGTTCCGTAATGATATCATACAATTCGCACCAACCGCGCCCAATACGCCCGGAACTCGATATGAGTATTACTCGCATATTTCGGACTGGGCATTTTTATAGTACTCTATGCTGAAAACGGATAATAATATTTGATTTTTAAGCGATAGTTTCACGATAAATAAAATATAGATATACAATAAATAAAATGCACGAATAATAACAACAACAAGAGGAGGAACGAGACCCGAATCGGATGAAGGGTTTTTTCCCCCGCCGCTGAGTTCACAAACAACCACGTCGTAATTTAGAATTTTACCGCGACGTGCCGTGTACAGCACCGTGGAGTATTTGTTATTGCTCAGGAAAGTCACTCCAATTTCCCGGTACTTGATGCTGCAGATAATTTAATATGATGGTCATGTTTATTAAAACAATATGTGTGTACATAATTTATTAGTGTATCACAAAGCATTCTGTACAAAAATTAAACTTGGTATACCCAAAACGAAACATATCCGCCGAAGAAATCAAACCAAACAGGCTGCCAAATCGTGACCGGCGAAGAATGAACGCAGAAATTAATACTCATTTAATCTTCCAAATGTGCAATGCGTTGTTTTAAACTCGTCCTTTGCAAATGTAAAGATCGTTTTCAGATATTATTATCAATACTTGATAGTATAATTCGCGACTTGATAACCAGTCATGTGATTTTCTGCGTGACAGAGATGATCGGGGTGTAGATATTCCCGCCTTTTATACTAATACGTTTTGAGTGTGTCATCATAGAGTAGGTAATGTTTAAAAAAGAAAACGCGTGAAAAATGAAAAGGTTCACTTTTTGTGTGAAAATAAAGTAAATGCGTTCTGCCCTTCTACACGCCCACCATCTCGTACGATATTAAAAAAGTTAAAAAAAAAACACATTGGCGCCCGGAATGCCGTGATTAAACCTTTCCCGCACGAGTAACCAACCGTTTGCCGTAACAAACCACCAAACCGAGAAATTGTATTACCTAAAAGTAATGTTTATTTCATTTGCCGCCAGACAACCTCAAATTTGACACATTTTGGTTAATTTGCATTTACGATTCAGTCGTCTGCCATTTTCATGCATATAGTACGGGAAGACGATTTGGATTTATTCGGAGGCAACTTAAGGAAGCATACTAATCAAAAGTAACATATTCTGTATTTTATTCTGTAGTTTAAGACATTTTTTGTTACAAAAATGTTGAATTAAAAAAATTATAATAATAATGCCGTCATATATCCGGTACATCCATTGCTGTTCCTTGTATAAAAAAAAAGGTTTTATGGGTATTTTTATAGGAAAATTGCCACCCACAAATTGCCTTGTAAATAAATATAACTGAATATCCATGATATTAATAGCATGGAGGTATTAGCTCTATGCTAATAGGATGGGAAACACGATAGGCACGTTTTGTTGTAGGACAGCTAGTACGAAAACCATATTCAATAACAAGGTATATAACAGTGCTTAGGGGGACGATTTCACTAACTGTTTTTGTGGGAGGTGATTCGTGCATCATCTGAGAAGGTTCGATTTCTGAACGCGTTGATGGGGTATTCAAGCTCGAAAACTGTCGCCAATTAGCCGATACGCCCTTATCACCGGGGCTAATCAATGTACTACCATACATGGGAGATAAGAGCCTGGCAGAGGATCATAACCCGTTGTTATTGACAATTTAGTTTGGTTTAATCCAAGTTCAATGCTGACACGTGCGTTGGATCGGAAAATTGCTTGTTATCAATCTGTCTCAAAATTAACGCCTCAAATAGGCGACCAGCGACTCGACTGACGTTATCGTTCCGGTTCGCCTCCCTCCATGAAAGGACTAACAAGACGAACTCATCTGTGGGCGCTGTGTCCCTTTTCAAATTGATGTCAATTTCGTTTCTTTTATTCAGTGCTATCATTAATCTTTTTGGTTGGTTTGTCCATTCCGCCCGGCTGCGCGGTGTGGCACGTTTTCTCAAATGTCTAAACATAATGCATCTTCTGAGTAGGGAAGATTTTTTTTTTAAATACAAAACGCTGTGAATATTTTATTAGAGTGGGCAAAAAAATCGTCGCGGGAGAACCACCGTTATCGATTTTTAATCAAATTGAACAACGCAGACGGCAGAGTTCGATTATCAAGGTCATGTCTAGGGTATTTTTATTTGATTAACAAATTAATTTGAAACATTATAGTTTTGGGCTGATATATTGCTTAATTTTAATTTCAGTATCCCGCCATCAACTGATGGTGTAGTTAACATTTTCACCCGCGTTCTGATCGATGTGGGTCCCATAAGTGTGACATACACGACGCCTGTAAAATACGTTGTTTATTTACACGAAATTCGAACGCGATACACGAAGACGGGGATACGTCAAAGTTTCGCACTATTAATAAGATTCACATGAACAACAATGTTAGCGTTTGGTTCATTTCTACCCCTCCTCCTAAAAAAAGTGTCAAATGTCACAGTAATAATAGTAATGTTTAAAATTGTCCAGGCCATATGTTTGGAATCTAGTTCATGTCAGAAATACGCATATAGTCCAGCTCAAACTCCTACAAAAATATGGAATCAAAGAACACAGAATTCTACAGAAAAAAACAATCATTTTAGCAGTGTTAATCAACAATTGCCCATATCCACGGGTCACTAATGCCTATCCATAAACAACCCTACAGTCCAATAGCTGACATTATTTTAAGAGGGTTCTCACAAATCGCATTTAGCATTTCAGAAAAAATTTGTGAGAAAAAATCCATTGGCTAATAGGCACTACATGGGCTCCGGCTTCTGATTAGTGGATGCGAATGTGTTCCTATGAATGGTCTCCGTTTTTAATTATCCACGTACAGCGCTAACAACGGCGGGTTTTTTTAATCAAAATTTTTGCTTGGAATGCGTTGGTAGATCGTGTTGTATCTTTGATGAACGTTAAACAATATGACGTTTTGAAAATGGAATACTTCTTATAATCGCTTATTTGGTGAAGTGAGTTGGACGAATATTTGTATTCACTGTTATTATTTGTACTCTAAACAAACACTTTCAAGAAACCATACAACTGCGTAATGACAATGACAAATACGTACGAAACAATTTTAATGGTGGCGCTGTGTTCAGCTCTATTCGATACATACACACGTTCTCCGCCGTCTAAATACTTTGTGAACTTCACCTCTAGGGGGCGTGTGGCGAAGCAACATGATCGCTTACCAGGGTAGTTTCTCTTACTATATAACGTCGCGTTTGCGTTTTCTCTGAAGTGTTGTTATTAATATCAGTTCGAATCAAAGATGAGTGTTGAAGACCGCCCTCTTGAGGATTATCGTGCCAGGAATTTCACCAGACATGCGCAGAAAAATAAAATCCGCCATTTTGGATTTCCCGACCTGGTGCAAGAATATTCTTGCAAAAGAAATCGAGGTGAGTTTCATTCATGTTTATTGTGGGCTATCGTTTTTGCAGGTATCGAGTTAGGTAAATACTCTATATTGGGCATGAAAACGGTCATCTCGCAGTTTGATTATGAAACGTATGCAACTTATTCCGATATGGTGGACAGTTCCACACGTTTGCCACATGTATGACATGTGTTGTTGACGTCGTCGTACAATATTCCGGGTGGGGTAGGTGTAACCTTGGTGATTGGTCGACTTAATGGTGGACCCCGGGGGTCATTACCATAGTTTATCCGTCTTGGATCGAATCAATATGACGGCGTACGTAATCATTTAACACGCGATCCCGGGCGTGCGATACGCGAATTCCATCATCAGTACATTGTCCAAATGGTTATCGTACGGAAATCGCACGTCAGTGAGTCGAAGTCGATAGTGGGAGATCGAACGGTCATCTTTAAAACAAAATAACACTATTTATGTCTGATTGTCACTAGTCACTTGTCACTTCACTTTATTATCGGTTAACTTTTGATGAATAGAATGCAGTACATATTTGTGGCATGTCAGTGAGCATGTACGTTACAAGTTTGGTTGGTCATTTTGACCTTACCCTTTTTATGTGATGGGGGCAGGTCACTCACATCGCTGGGTCTCACGTCTTGCACAACATCATGTCATCATGCTTATACCTCAAGTACTAGTACTGTAATGTCAGAAAGTTTTGAAAAAATAAATTCATTCAAGTCTTCAGATGGTTGCAAAATTCACTAGAGTGTTTTCTCTTCTTTCAGTAGTGCATTTATCAGAGACACTTCTTTTAGAAATAATACAGTATGTGGACGCTTAGCCAAACACTAGCAATATACAAAAAAAAATATATTAGGAGTTAAGAGAGCCCTCAGTGTTCAGTACTGTCACAAAAAAGTCTTGACACAATGTAACTAAAATCATCATTGAATTCTGTTTAAGATAATAGACTAAGAAATTTATGAGAAGTTATGCCTCCCAAAAAGAAGGAAGCACCAACAAGTAAACCATTAATTGGTAGGGTTGGAACATCGTTAAAATGTGGAATTGTGGGACTACCGAATGTCGGGTAAGTAACTAATGATCAAATATTACTTTATTATACATCTGTCACCGTAACACCATAAGTTACAGCGTGCTGTAATTTTGCAGTATTTTACAGGGTATTTTCATCCTACCATATAAGGAAATGCGAATTCCTAATATGGAATGATTACACACATAAGCGTCCCCTAAAAATAAAAACAAACATGGCTGCCACCAGGGTTTGACCGGACTCCACACAAAGAAGTTCGCTGATTCTGTTCTAAACATTTTTGGATTTCAGTATTCCATGATGTATCCTTTGAAGGAAAAGATGTATCTAATATAGTCATTACGAGGATACCTCAAAGTATGCACTCAGACAGTACGCTGTCGCATCGACCTCCGCTTCGCGTCGGTCGATACTTTCTCTGTACTGACTTTGTGCATACTTTGAGGTATCCTCGAAATAACCTCATATTATTATAAATCTGATGTCAAAAAAACAATAGAATTCATGTTCTGTGAAATCTTGGTTCTCAAAAGTGTTACGAAAAAGTTTGTTTACTTCAAATTCAAGCTTATTGTTTTGATTACATCAAACACAGAAGCGATATACTGTAAATTACTTTATTTTAGCTGGAATTAATTCTCTTTGAAGACTTTTTGGGTGTTTTGTATGGAATATATTTTCACTGACTTTTCATGAGTTGAATGTAAAATATAGAAAAAAAGTTATATTCGCTAGATTTTATTTTCACTGAATCATTCCTTCAGCGAAAATAGCGAAAATTAATTCCAAGCGAAAATAAAGTATTCTACAGTAGTCTGTGATAGAAATAGAATTCCATCACTGAATGCAATGTTAGAACAATGCAGAATTGTATTTGTCACCATATCGACTGTTATCTCTCATTATTAAAATTATTTCTACCAACATTAAAAAGTTGTATATTAATAAGCTTATCGTAAGAATACCACAAAGTTTGCACTTGGGTACTACCGGTATGTATTACAGGCCCTTTGGTACACGTTGATTGATTCTATCGTCGTCTTGTAATAATCGTGTAATATTATTAAAGCATTAAAACTTTGATTTATACACCCGTGCCCATATTTGGGTATATCATGACATAGCTTTACATTGTAGGGTACTGTATGATGTATCGCCATTTAGTGCATATCAACATATCCAGATTTCATCACAGTTTTGATTTCTATTTCACTGGCTTTAATACCGTGCACATGCTCAAGCTATTCATGGCATATTTAGTTCTGTTTTCCCTGCTTTGTTGTTGTCAAATTATAGTGTATAGTCTGCTGCTCTTCTGGAGATAATTTTTGAACAGATAAATGAATAAATTATTCAATCTATCATTCTTGCAGGAAATCTACTTTTTTCAATGTTTTAACAAAAAGTCAAGCTGCTGCTGAAAACTTTCCTTTTTGTACAATAGGTTAGTATGTCAGTTTATTTCTGTCGCCAAAGATTAAAGATTTTAAAACCTGTACAAAAAAAAATATTCCCTCAACACATCTTAGTCTGACCTGACAGTTTTTAGTTATGGTAAATTGTGGTTCTTGCATGAATTAAACAAAATATCAGAAAATGCTGTCTCTTGCAAATATTTTTTAATATGAAAAGAAAATACAATACATTCAGATAGTTTTCCACTCTAATCAGTCAATAACTAAATTTGTTTATTGCTGGGGTAACTGGATCTATTTTGGTTGAATTTTTATTTACAATTATTCCTATGATAAGACCATAAGATGACAAGATGTTCTTTTGGTGAGCTGTTTGGCTAAAACATTTTTCAACCTGGAGTGTGCTTGATTGATGATGAAATAAGTGCTTTAAACCATTTAATTTAAAATATCAGCAACTATATTATTGTCAGTCAAATTTGAGATATAAAAAACCAACATAATTCTAAAAAAATGGGTCTATTGTGTAAAATACAGATGCCATATATGTGGAGGGTCTGTATCTTTTTGGATAAGTTTGGTGTCTTATTTAAAGAGAGGGTAGAAGATAGATGTAAATCGCGAGAAATCTTTTCATCCAAATACATAAACAATCTCTGTATATGAAGAGATAAATTATGCTATGGTCATTATGGTTTGATTTACAAACAAAACAAAACGTATTTATGTTTCGTACCTGACTGTGAAGTTGTTAAAATTCTAAATAATTTAAATAAAATTATCAAAATAACAACTTTTTTCTTTTCTTATCTTTTCAGAGCCAAATGAAAGTAAGTACATTTTAACATAATTAAAAGGATGGTTTAATGTTTCCTAAAAAAACATGAATGACTAAGTTTTCAGTATATATGCTGAGGTCATATACCAAAAGGTATATATATACAAAATGATATTATAATGTCACTATGCACAATCTCTGGTCACAGTTTATATGCTGATACCATAGTATTTATGATGAGGTCATAGTATATATGCTGATATAGTATTTATGATGAGGTCATGGTATGCTGATATCATAGTATTTATGATGAGGTCATAGTATAGTATATATGCTGATATAGTATTTATGATGAGGTCATGGTATATATTCTGATATCATAGTATTTATGATGAGGTCATAGTATATATGCTGATATAGTATTTATGATGAGGTCATGGTATGCTGATATCATAGTATTTATGATGAGGTCATAGTATAGTATATATGCTGATATAGTATTTATGAGGTCATGGTATATATGCTGATATCATATTATTTAAGATGATGTCATGGTATACATGCTGATATCATAGTATTTATGATGAGGTCTGATGAGGTCATAGTATAGTATATATGCTGATATAGTATTTATGAGGTCATGGTACATATGCTGATATCATAGTATTTATGATGAGGTCATAGTATATATGCTGATATAGTATTTATGATGAGGTCATGGTACACATGCTGATATAGTATTTACGAGGTCATGGTATATATGCTGATATCATATTTATGATGAGGTCATGGTATATATGCTGATATAGTATTTACGAGGTCATGGTATATATTCTGATATCTAGTATTTATGATGAGGTCATGGTATATATGCTGATATAGTATGTATGATGAGGTCATGGTATATATGCTGATATAGTATTTATGAGGTCATGGTATATATTCTGATATCATAGTATTTATGCTGAGGTCATGGTATATATGCTGATATATTATTTATGATGATGTCATGGTATACATGCTGATATAGTATTTACGAGGTCATGGTATATATGCTGATATCATATTTATGATGAGGTCATAGTATAGTATATATGCTGATATAGTATTTATGAGGTCATGGTATATATGCTGATATCATATTTATGATGAGGTCATGATATACATACTGATATAGTATTTATGAGGTCATGGTATATATGCTAATATAGTATTTATGATGAGGTCATGGTATATATGCTGATGTAGTATTTATGAGGTCATGGTATATATGTGATGTAGTATTTATGATGATGTCATGGTATACATGCTGATATAGTATTTATGAGGTCATGGTATATATGCTGATATCATAGTATTTATGATGATGTCATGGTATACATGCTGATATAGTATTTATGAGGTCATGATATATATGCTGATATCATAGTATTTATGATGAGGTCATAGTATATATGCTGATATAGTATTTATGATGAGATCATGGTATATATGCTGATATCAGTATTTATGATGAGGTCATGGTATATATGCTGATATCATAGTATTTATGTGAGGTCATGGTATATATGCTGATATAATAGTATTTATGATGTTATGATGAGGTCATGGTATATACGCTGATATAGTATTTATGATGAGGTCATGGTATATATGCTGATATAGTATTTATGGTGAGGTCATGGTATATATGCTGATATCATAGTATTTATGATGATGTCATGGTATACATGCTGATATCATAGTATTTATGATGATGTCATGGTATACATGCTGATATAGTATGTATGATGAGGTCATGGTATATATGCTGATATAGTATGTATGATGAGGTCATGGTATATATGCTGATATCATAGTATTTATGATGATGTCATGATATACATGCTGATATCATGGTATTTATGATGATGTCATGGTATACATGCTGATATAGTATTTATGAGGTCATGGTATATATGCTGATAT